TTGATATAAACAGGAAAGCTAGAATGTGAAGTGAGAACTTAAGTCAATAGAGTTACATTGATATGACCCTTTATACGAACATTTTTGTCTTGGCACAGAGAAGTTTTGAAAATCACTAGTTCACGGTGTGTTGGAGAGTGTCCAAGCTAAATTTAAAAAGCTGCATTAGGTCTGAACTAAGCACCCTCAAGAGGAACAGTATAAACTTAGTTGTGTTAGGTTATCTGCATGGATACAGTTAAACAAGCATAATTGATCAAACTTTCTTCTGCAGAATACTGTACAGCTCTTAGCACAGCCTTGGGATTTTGATAAATGTACAGGACAAAATCTCTGTTTGAAAAGGAAAGATTTTACTCATTGCTTACTCTGGGAAGATGGGTGCTTTGTTGTACAAATTCCTTTTCACTGCTCTCAGTTAAATAGATCATTTTGTCACCCAGTTTGTTCGGTGCGTGAGGATCAAGTTAGGAACAGCCTACAACAACTGAGCCCATACAAATCCATGGAGGCAGAAGCCTGTATCCAACATGCTGAGAGAGCTGGCTGATGTCCTTGCAAGGCCACTCTCCATGATTTTTGGAAAGCCTCAGATATCAAGGATCCCTGATGATTAGAGGAAAAAAACCTATTCACATTCAGTTTCAGAAAAAGCCCGAATAACAACTTGGAGATCACTGAGCTTATTTCTTACATTCAAATGGAATTTCCTGTATTTCAACTTGAATCCATTGCTATTTGTCAGGCACCACTACAGTAGAGCCTGGCTCTGTTGTCTTTTACACCCCATCAGGTTATACACCTTGACAAGATCCCCTAAGACTTTTCCAGCCTAAACCCTAGCTCTCATCCTCTCCCCCTTATTTCAGTCTTCTTCAATCCTATTATCATCTCCTTGGCCTCTTGCTGGATACTCTCTATTATGTCCATGTCTCTCTTGTACTGGGGATCTCAGCACTGGACATGGCCTTCAGATTTGTCTCACCAGCTCAGGGTGGAACAGCAGGATCACCTCCCTCCACCTGATGGCAACACACAGCCTGATGCAGCCCAGGAATCTGAGTTTTCAAGGCCACGAGGGTGCACTGCTGGCTCATGCTCAACTTGGTGTTCACTGGGACCCTCAGGGGCTTTTCTGCAAACATGCTTTTCAACCATTTGACTTGGTGCCTGGGGTTATTATTGCTCCAGGTAGAAGACTCCATATTTCCCCTTGTTGAACTGCACAAGGCTCCTATGAGCCCATTTCTCCAGTTTGTTAAGATCCTTCTGAATGGCAGCGCAGCCCTTCAGTGCATAAACAACTCTGTCCCATGAGCCAGGTCCTTAAGAAGGTTTTTAATATGTAAGAACCTGTACTGAGAGGGAGCGCCAGTGAAAAAAAAGCTTCAGCTAGGCTTCATACCACTGATCACAACTTTGAGCCAGCCCTCAACACACCTGCTCACCATCTACTTTACAGTACATAACTCATCAGTTTGGGAGGATATTATGAAAGACAGTGTTAAAAGCCTTGCTAAAGTCAAGATAAACAACATCCACTGCTCTCCCCTCATCCACTGAGCCAGTCATCTAACTGTGAAGGCTGTCAGGTTGCCAGGCATGCCTTCCCCTTCCCTAACTCTATTCTCACTACTACTAATTATCTTATAGTTCATGTTTGGTTTCCAGCACTATTTGCTCCAGTACCTGCCCAGAGATCAAGGTAAGAAATGCTTGAAGAGGTGGGCCATACACAGATCTATGGCACACATCCATGACTGCTGAAGGAGCTGGTTGATGTCATTGTGAAGCTGTTCTTAATTTTCTAAAAGGTTATAGCAACGGACACGATTCCTGAGTGATGGAAGAAAACAAGTGTCCTTCCTATCTTAAAGACAGACAAGAAGAATAGGGGAATCTACAACACAGCCTTACCTTGATCTTACCTTCTCATCCAAGGGTAATTCTTCCTTGCTGTAGCATTTTCTACTGGCTTCAGGGGCCTACAGTCCCAAAGGCCGGTCTTACCACTTGAGACCAAGGCAAAGAATACATGAAGTACCTCAGCCTTCTCCATGTCCTTTGTCATGGGGATTCCCATCCTGCTTAGCAGCAGGCCCACTCTTCCTCTGATCTTCCTTTTGCAGCTGCAAGACCTGTTGTCCTCCATATCCTTTGCCAGGTTCAGCTAGGTGGGTTTGCTTTGGCTTCCCTAGTCCCACCCCTGGACACTTCCACAAGATCTCTACATCCCTCACAAGTTACCCGTACCAGCAGCTTTCCACAGAGATTTTTTCATGGTGGTGCACGGCAGGAGAAACTTTCCACCCAGCCCATGCCTGCTTCATGTGTTTTTATGTCTGGTCTGTTCTCCTACAGAGCTCCCACATGCTGATCAGGAAACACATCAGTCGGCAGAGATGTGTAACCGTGCTTGGATGCACATTATCACTTGATCAGCAATGCAAACCCATTCCCAGAGGAACTTCTGCACTAGAGCACGTGTTGAGACACTCAGTAGTTGTGCCTGATACCTGCGAGGGGTGCTCAGGCATTTGGATTTTGACCAACCTCTAATATTAAAGAACAGGCTGACAATTTTTAATAGGCCATTTTTTATTGAGAGTTAAGATCATGTTTCCCCATGGTGCACAGAACGCACGATGAAAACAAAATACAGAAGATCACTTTAGTAAATACACACTGGTTAAGCAATGCTACTTTTTGGCAAAGTGCTGTATTTTGTCTGTTTTCAGCTTGTGTTAAACTATTAAAAATAAGAGCCAGACATTCTTCCATATCAAAAGGACTGCTACAAATAGAGAAGTGGCTCTGGAGAGAAGCTGCCATATATGCATAGACTGATGTACAGTATTAATCCTAACTGAAATGTCCCTTTTGAATCTTCAAGTTTGCTGCGTAGAAGGCACAGTTTAAAATGCAAATCTGTCCATTGACCAATACGTATGAAAATACAATTTCAGCAAAATTCATGAATATCAATCAGAACGAGACAGTGCAAGGCCTCCACTTTTACAAGAAAAAACACACTTTAATACAACTTAAAAAACCATATAAAAAGCCACACAGCTCACTATTAAAACAGAAAACCAAAACAAATCTAATTGCCCAATAGCTCCAGGCACAAAACAGGGCTAGACCAACATAAATATGTAAAACAAATTAACAAAAAGCCATTGATGCAGTATTATCTCACACAATAATATGGTTTCCAATATTACAAATTGAGAAGCACAGCTTTGTGCAACAAAATAGTTTATATCCTGAAAGATATAGGTTTTCATCACCAGAAAGTCATCTAGTAATGTAGTATAAAAAGATCAGTATCTCCCAATTCTAGGAGCAGTCTAAAGTTGCATTTATTTGCCTACCGAGAAGAACAGACCAAGGCTCTCATTGTAAAGCCTGGGAGCCTTACACCCTCAACTCCATCTCCCTGCTAAGAGCTAAGGGATCACTTACTCCTTCCAACACAGGGAGGTGGAGACTCCATCTTCCTTCATTTCACTTTAAGAAAATTAAAGCTGAAGGAAAGCATTTACTTTTATATAAAGAAAAGTAATACAGGAAAGGAAAGAATTTTCCTGAGCTAGAAAGTTGGCAGTGAGGAGACAAAAGTTTAAGCCAGACAAAAAGTTGGAGTGATAAAGGTAGATTATCTGAGGCAAGTAAGAGTACTTGTGAATAGGTTAGAGACTGGTGAAACTACAGCTATCTGCAGATAAATCAGAGTATTTGGACCACAAGAGAATTGTTGTATGGACATGGGCACATACTGCTGAAAAGAACAGTAACAAAATCTCTGCTTTGGAAATTCATGATGCGACTAATTTTATTTTCTTTCAGTGTCCATGTGAATTCAATGTGTCAAAAAAAAAAAAAAAAAAAAAAAAAAAAAAAAAAAAAAAAAAAAAAAAAAAAAAAAAAAAAGACTAGTGTGTCCAGGAAAGCACCTCTTGCTTTTATACATTTAACTATTTTTCAACATCCCTTTGCAAGAATCCTAACTAGTTTCAGTGAAGCAGCACATCTGCAGTGAAAGAGAGGTTATAAATGCTGTCTCCTGTATGCCAAGTAGGTTCCACTACGATTCCAGCTGCAGAATGTGTAACAGTACCACTACATCAAGGTCAATCTGAATTGCTTGGGTTTTGCTTCAGTGAAATCGAAGCATTTGGCTGAATTTAAAATACTTCATAGGTCTGGAATAATTCACATTATGGACCTTGCCTGATTTCAAAGACTCCCCACATCACTCCTTATACCAACTTCTGTATAAGGACTACTGGAAGACACAGTTGAGTGTAATGTTAACACTTTAATGCCCTAGGCACTAAACACAAGGGAAAACACAGTAAATCACATGAAGCACTGACAGAAAGGAGGATAAACTTACTTATCGTTCCACCTTTCTTTCAGTGCAGATTTCTGCTTCCTCACCTTCACACCCTATTTAATCCACTTCCCAGACTTATCTATCAGGGTTCAGCATGCTGTATGGCTGCTGTATAACACAGCTTTTGTTTACAGGTGAACTTTAATTCACCTGTAGTTGTAGCTGGCAGTGCCTGCCAACTTCCAAAACATCTTGCACAGTGTTCTTAAGAAAACTACTTGTTAGTTTTGAACGGCTTTTCTTTCTTGTTGGCCCCAGTCCTGCCTCCAATGGGCAAAGCGAACCACCACTGCTGACCAATTTTTACACACCCTGTTATCGCTGTGTTTAGTTCTGTATGACTGTTCTCCAGCATGTACTTCTCCCTGCCTCACACTGCCCTTCATTTCCAGTCCCCATTAACTTGGACTTCATAGAGAGAAAGAGAGAAAATTAGGAGAACTTCTAATAAGCACCTCCTTCTAGCTATTTTTGGGCTACTCTCAATCTGTAAATATCAAGACAATCTAACAGCAACTTGTAGCTCAGAAATAGCTGTCCATCAGCAGTCAGCTACTGATGGGACTAAAATAACAGTCAAGCCCCCATCTTTTTTCTTTAACTAGATTAGAGATTAAATGAGATAAGGTAGGGGAAATACATGTATCAAAGACAGAAAGAGTTAGAGAAAGGAGTAAGAACTCAAACTGTACCAAGTAAAACCCAGTTCAGTTCTCTGTGTGTTGTGCATCTGCACTTTACCCATAGGTCCACTTTTCTTTCCATTCCACTGTGAGGTACTACATCTGTAACACCAGTGCCATATCATACTGCAACAATATTGGAGGGACATTTAACCCTCTTCCAATATCCATATCAAGTACCCAACACACCTACACAGACTCACAAACACAAATAGGTACTAGGCAATTTAGATGAGATGTCCTTCTTGCAACAGCTCAGCACAGCTATGTAATATCCACTGGCAGCTATAGAATTTCCTTGTTAGAAAGTAATCATATATGCTGAATACAGACAGATACACAAGCTGTCAAGTACTGGTCATTAAAGCATACAGCTAACCTCAATTTTTCTAACTCCATTTTGATTAATGCAAAATGTAACTGATTTCCATCTCAGTTAAGTTTCTTTAAAATACTAACTAAGAACCCATCTATACATCATAGTTTATAAAACAGCACACAAACTATCGTACTGATAGGCTTCCAAGACACTGATATTTAACATCAACATTCAGAACTCGCTGCAAGATGTTTGGAGATTTATGTGTCTTTTCAAAAGAATGCAACGCTAGTTACGATTGTGTTTGAGGGTTGACAATCAGCTTCGGATTGACCACACTTACCTACACATGAAAACAGAGCAACCTAAAAAACAATTAGACCATAGATTAAAACCACAAGAACCATCAGTAATTGAACTGACGCTGGCAAGGCTGGTGAACAAACAGTCCGTTGTGCTTGATTTGCCGAGAGTGGCAATCCCTGGTAAGGTTTTGGCGACGGAGACTGTTTCTGTTGAGACAGTGTCTTTCATTATGTTCTTTTATCCAGTGGGTAGGACGAAAGCTCTTGTTTTTTTCCAGAAAAGTTGAACGAGTAGCAAGAGCTGTGACATAGCAGTGAACACGCTGTCCTGTTTCATTTCGGGCCTCCAGTCTAGAAATGTAACAACAGATATCAGCCATTAGGGAGGTGCACTGGAATGACAAGTAAAATAAAGGCTAGAACACGGAGATCAACACCCTGCATTTCAAAAGGGCACCCTTATTCTATTGAACACAGATTTGGGCTGAGGTGAGGTCAAGCCACCTACCACACTGGTAAGTAATGCGTAGTGCTGCCAACTCACTTTTTGTGTGAGGGCTCCACAACAGCCTTTGGACTTCCAGCATCTTACACTATTGTGCTCCTCCTTCCCCACCCCAACTCCCTAAGCCCAAGATGTAATGCATATCAGAAATACAAGGCAATGTGTGTCACACTGCTCCAGCTTTAGAAGACTTAGAGTTATCCATCAGGCAAAGTTTGGTTTTAAATCATCTTGAACATAGGCGGTTCAGCCTGAAAACAGAAGCACACTAATGAAAGTGCATTTCAACTGCCAGCCACACAAGTAAATCCAAACAGTGTTCATGCAGAGGAATGGGAAAGACAGATCAGTTGTGACACACACAGGAAGTAACTTAGAAGGATTGTTCCTCAACCAGCCCTCTAAATTTCACGAGCAGAGAGTCAGCAGTTTTGGCAAACCCTTCCTTCATCATGCAATAGTGAAAAACAAACCAGCAGCCTATGCAAGCAGGGACTGACATATTGAAAAAGGACTTCCCTACTTGACAGAACAATCACTGGCACTTCCTGAAACTTCCAAAGTAAAGTTAAAAATAGCCTGGCCATTTTAGCAAAGCAAAACCCAAATCGGAGTGCTACAGCTGGTGCAATACTCGTGGCACCAGAGTTGCTTGCCTTCTCTCTTCCTACCCAGGACCCAACAACCAGCTGTCACCTGGCCAATAGTGCCCAGGAAAGATGTCTGCAAGACCAGGAACTTGCTCAGCCATGAGCAAGAGGTCTCTTGGGAAGTCTGTTTTCCAGCACTAGCATGGCTCTTCTGGAAGAGCTTAAATTGCATTTATTGTACACAGTCTCTGTAGACATAAATCTCGCCTGCCATGTCCTTTGCAGCCTTACTCTTGGGGGGCTGACACAGAAGTGAGCTCTTCTGCCTCCCACCACTCCACACTGGAGGGAAATACTCCTCGTCAGCAAGGGAATACTCCCTGCCTTCTATCTTTTTTTGTATTTTAAATATCCTAATCTTGCTTTTAGATCCCTGGGTAGCTAGACATGACTGACTGAAGACTAGAGACAGCAGAACAGCCATGTATGACATGCTGATTTTCCCATTTATTCACTGGATATTGTCCTAAACCTAGCACTTAAAATATCAAGAAAGAAATACGTGAACACCACAGCACCAATCAATTCCCAGCGCATTGTGAACATGTTCTATGCAGATTACACCAGTTTAATACACATGAGGGTACCTGCAAATATGGGGCTACTATTTTCTATATGGGGCGATCCCTTAGCACAATCAACAGTGCTGGAGGTGGAACTTCAGGCGAAGCCATTCTAGGGAAAGCTGTAAGGAGCCAGGAAGCCACACCACAGTTTTTGCAACCCATATTTCCTAAGCAAACTCTTAGCTAGCAAAGGGCAGCAACTGCTAATACAAACTGTTGTGGTTTTGGTATGGAAAAATATGACTAATCTGACAAACAGGGAGAAGTTTTTACAACATCCTTTTGCTTTGAAAGGAATTTAAAATGGGAAAATAGATTTCCTCCACAAAAGGAGAAAAACTGGTTTAAAGTTGCAGGTGGAAGATACTTAAGCTTATCAAATACCCTTCCAGCACTGGTTTGCAAACCAACACTCTTCTATTTGTCAACATAAAGTGAAACTGGGATAGCACAGGTGGCTTGAATTGTCTAAAAGGTCACATACTCTTCCAAAATGCAGCATTTTGGTACCTTAGTTGCATTTGGTAGCCTGGCGCTAGCAAGCCCTGTACGCTGAGAGAACAGGGCTGACAAGTCTCCATTTATATTGTCAAAAGAGAGTTTTAGAGGGGCTGTGTCTTAAGCCAGACCATCACTATATACATTCACTGCTGCACTCCCACCATCTATTTTGCTAGAAAGCAGAAGTGTTGTGCTAATTGCACTGCAGAGACAGACCTCACAAGAAACATTAAAGGCTTCAGACCCCACCCCAATTAATATTCCAGTAATTTTTCTGCATTTAGCATTTTGGCTTGTTAAAGCAGATGTAGTTAGGCTTGATCAAGTAACATCATTTGGCATAAAGGTTAGTCCTAAAACCAGTATTGCTTTGGCAGACAAGGCTCTAGAGGAAGCAGTATTGCTAGCAGCCTGATCAAACAAAAAGCACTGTCCCAAAACAGGAGTACTTACTGTGCCAGTGTGCCTTAAGCAGCTTTTCTTGGCCCTACAATGTTAAATGGCCAACCATTAAACCACTAGAGACTTCAAAACAGCTTTTGAAACTTACTGCAATATCAGTGTAATCAATGTTCCCAGTTTCTGCAGTCTACCTCAGCTTTAGACTTGTCTCGTCCCAGTTCTGCCACCCAAAGTAACCCATATAAGAGCCTAGATCTTCTGACAAAGCAACAGCACAGAATTAAGTGTGAAGAAACTTAATTACATGCCAGCTGAAGATCATCATACCTTTAGCTTCCCCCCACAATAAAGCAGCTTAACTGTACTGTATAGTATGAGACAGGATTGTTCTCCAAAAGAATTACTACCATTATCCCTAGTTCAAGTCACTGAAAAGTCAGTATCCAACTTTGAGTGTTACACTGCAAATTATTATTTTAGATAAACTGGTTTACTGTCCAGGGCATGACTTGCAGCCTCCAGTTCTTCTGCAGATTACTTCAGACCCTCACTTTAAAGGTGCTGTGTATTCATAGTTTCTCCCTGTTTAAGTTAGACCCCTGATACTTAACATCATAAACTGCCCTCCCCAATAACATAAATCCTCCACCCCAAGACCAGTAGTATCAGCACTATACTTCAACATTATACAGCAGCACATCATCTCAAAGTCATCTGTTTCTTTGAACTAAGAACTTAAAATACACCAAGGAGCTGATCAGAGAAGTCAATAGGCATCTACCTGCAGCAACTCCACCCCTACACTCATTTCTTCCTGTATATCAAAGTTTAGAATACTATGATTTTTTCTCTATTTTTCTCTGTTTATTTTGTTCTCTTCTTTATTATTTCTTCTAGACATAAGCAAAAATAAGCTGGGATGAAAAGTCAGTCTTTGTTATTAACTGGGATTCACAAAACACCCAGTTATTTTAAAATCAATGAATGCGGGGGCACGTGTGGGGTCATAATGACAAGGAAACACTATTTGTACACGTCCATGTATACTATACTTGTGTAGCTGTGCACGCAAACACCAAAAAAGCAGTGCATGGCAAACATGCCTCTGCAATAACCCCACATGGTCAGATTTTTAGGATCCAAAACCAAAAAGCACAATTTTCTTACTTTGCTAAAAGGAGAAGTTTGCAGCACAAATTTTTACAAGTTTTGTGAAAGATTTCAAGTTGCTTTTGTTTCACAAACTGATTGTGGAAAAATTTCATCCTATCCTTATCTATCACTATGTTGAGGAACAAAGAACACTGGAGAAAAAAAAAAACCAAACCACCCAAAACCCAAGCCCCTAAATTTCATCTCACAAGGTGACACTAACGAGCAGCTATGAAAGGAACACATAGTGAAGTGGGCAAAGTGCTTTCATATGAACATTACTGGATATCCAGTGAACTGCCAGCAGTTTCAACACGACTGGAACATACTCTGCAAGGCAGTAACTAGGCTCCATAAATATTCATTGAAGTATCAAAATAGCATACCCAGCTGTTTCCCGACACAGTCATCTTGCATTAACATTTTTCTAAGCAGGCAGGCAGCCCTGACCACCTTGTGTAGTATTCATGCTTTATTCACCTGCTCTGAAAAACGCTGGAAAATTCAGTATTAAGTGTCTAAGCTGATCAAGTAGAAACCAGATATATTCAGGAACAGAGCTGCTTGACAAGAGAATTCACACATACCTGGGACTACCTGGGCTGTGAAACTCCTCATTTCCACATCCAGTCTCATTAAGGCTGTGACAGGCATTATGGACAGCATACACAGACATGCTGGGATGCTCTATTAGGAGGTTCTCCATCGGACTGGTTTCCACTTTGATAGTGGTCAATCCACCTGCAGTAAAACATGGGGGAGGGGTAATAAACCAGCTCTCCTCCATAGGACATGACTCAAACTGGATGAAGCAAGACTCGCTGGCCTCCGGCAAGTGTTCCAAGGGAGACGATAAACAAGAGAAGACAGGCGAGCCGTCCGTGGTTGATTCTTCAACAATGTCTGCTTCCTCCACAGAACAATTAGTGCAAGTGTCTGCTGTAGGTGACCATTAGTCAGTGGAGACGATCCCATGGATGTTGGTGATCACAGGAGGTCGAAAACAAGGTTGCACGTGGCCAAAAATGGAATATGGAAAGAAAAAAAAAAAACAACAAAGAAAGAGAAATAAACCTCTTATTAGCACATATACAAGTTTTTACTTTTTAAAAGCAGGAGAGGAAAAAAGGCAAGCTATGTTAGACACATGAAGCAACTGTTATCAGTAAAGCTATATAATTGCATAATAAGTCAAATATACTTTATCTGTACAGGTGGTTCTGCTGAACCTGTGTCAGGCTTATAAACCTGACATCATTCTTCTCACCAGTGTACACAACATATTTGAGTACATTTGTTTGGAAGACACCTTACACTCTAATCCCACGCTGGTTTTACTTAGATAAAAGTTCTCCAAGCTACTGGTTTGTTCACTTGGAAGCAAGACAAACAAAAGCCAGAGCATGACAAAGGCAGAGCTCATGTCTGACAGACATCTTACCTATAAAGTCAACCAGAATCCACTCGTCGTCTTCTTTCTCACTGAACTCTGGCTCTTGGCTGGACAAGCTATCAATCTCTCCCATGAGCATGTTATTTAACCTCTGAAACATTACTAAGGCAGGACAAGACTTTGGCTGGTAGGTCTTTATATCCAAGGTTCAAGGCACAGCTAACACTGTACTAGCAGAGTGGCATAGACTTGAGATTAAAGTGCATAGATGCTTTATCAGCTTAGGTACGGGACATGCAGAGGCATGACTTGTAAACAGTTTATGTGAACCTGCAAAAAATGATGACAAGGGTCTTAATGACAAAGCAACAGATAACAACCCTAGGAAACAAGTTAAAAGCCCTCTGGCTAGTGTAGTCGGAGGTACCAGTGAACATTTTCCTCTAAGAGGAGAGGCAGGTTCACCGGTATTCACAATCCCCTCCCACAAAAAAAACCAAAACACAAACAAACAAAAACCCAGAAACCAACAATAATCCCTAGGAGCTGATTGCCTTTCCCTCAGTCTTCCTCTCCATGGAAAGGTCTGTTCAGTTGTCAGTCCCATCTTCTCCTAAGGGAAGGGAGGACTCTTGTACAGGAGCCTTGAGTCTCTGCTCACCAAGGTGCTCCCCCAGCTCCCTGCCTGTCTTCCTCCTGGCCAGAGAGGGATGTGAAGGGCAAGTGCATATTTTTTGCTCCAGACAACTCATCTCCTTTGTTGGCAGAGAGGAGCCCCTGTGAGGGCTCCTGGGGAAGCTCAAGGCAGTGTTTCTTCTCTCTCCCATCACACTCAGTTCAGGGCCACTGCCTACAAGTTAACAAAGTAGGAAGGCACATCCTGTCTTCAGGTTCAAAGTGCACCACACAGTTACCAGTGGGATCATTTTCACAGCAACCACCCAACTAGTCATGTATGGTAAGTCTAACGAGCATGGAAAAGTACCATGTATGCTAACTAAACCCAATGTTTATTTCTCAATACATTTCCCTAAATCTACATGTAATTGGTCACCATAAGCCTGAACTCTGCATCTGGCAATTAAGATGAAAAATCCCATTAGTATCAAGAAGCTCAATGTTCAAACACCTCAGATCATCATGCTTACAGCCTTTGATATTTATACATGAGCCAATAAGGAGAAGACATTAAAGTAAATAAAAAGATAATGACTATCCACTGATTTAACTACAAGTTAATATTACCATAGTAATATTTGAATCATCACAGCATGTCAGAATCATTACAGATTAAATACCTGTTTGATAATTAAACAAAGAAGAATATATGCATGAAAGAGGGTATGAGTGCCTGCATTCAGAAAGAGAAAGAAAACACACTACACTAGACAAACCCAACCATTAAAAGAAGATACAACCCATTAAGATTATTATTTATGGCCAGTATAACCTGTGTCACTCTAGAACTTTCAGGCCACACTAAAGGGTCACTTGGGCCTCCTATGTCATCTTATCCCAGGACACCAGACCCCATTACCTATTCGTTCGATGCAAGGACAAGCACCTGCTCCATACAGTACTGCTTCTGTACACATTTATACAGCTTCCTCCTTATTCAAATAGCACAAAAGAATAGGAGCAGAATTTAAAGTAGTCTTCAGAAGCAATAGGAAAAGGTACAGCAACACTCAAGAAGTTATGCACACTAGCTCCTCAACAGAAACTATCAACTACAGGAAAAAACAAGAACAGAAACAACTGGCTCAGCTGCAGTTGTGAAAAAAGTCTATTTTTAAGGACCACACTTGAAAATGAAACGTCAGGGCTCTCTTTAAGAGAGCTATAAAAATGATCAGAAGTCCAAAGAAAAATGATAAGATTTAAAAAATGGAAAGACTTAAGAGAGGGAAGGAAGAGATTACAACAGTAGTAAATTATGTGAAGAAAGAGGCAAACATTTATTGTCGCCTTCTATACTCAGAGCAAGCAGAAGTGACTTTAAACTTCAGTAAAGTTCAGCTTTCAGTGGTTACCGGCAGGAAACACTTTTAACCATTAAGGCTGCTAAGCCCTGGATGGGTTACCTAAGGAAATGCCAAATGCCCACAGTGTTCCTAAGTACCTCCTTGAGAAGGTTTGAGTGCTTCAGTTATAGGCAGAGCTTACCACGGATAAGGAAATGAACTCTGAGTGAAAGCTTGAACTCTGTAGCTTTCCAGCTACCTTCCACTTCTTTCCCTAACCCTCTGCTGGCACAAGGCCTACGAAGAAAAGAGTCTGTTTTTTTTCTTAAGGCTAACTAGGAAACCATCGCATAGCTGCTGATCAGCACTGGCTTTCCCTGTACTCCCACACGCGTGTGTTGCCTCCTTCCTAGATCAAGCCTAAAGGCACCTTCAGGCAGAGGCTGTCCTTTTGTTGTTCTCTGCAGAGTGGAGAAAGATGAGAGCTCACACTCCTATATTAAGTCTCCAGGCATGACAGCAACATCAAATAATTAGATTCTAAAAAGCAAAGGAGAGATCACTGTTCCTGAGAACACAAGCTAAATAAACCTCAGCTTTTGACCCACAACTGTCTTTCTTTAGATCAAAAGCAGTTTGCCCCATTTCCCCTCCCCCCACCCCAAGGAGGATCCAAAAAAACATCTGAATCATTGAGAGACTGGTTGATGTTTTGACATCCTTTTGGACAAATGCCTTTAAAAAGGCCATGCTCTTGTCCTATTGTGCAAGTCAGACGGCGACCAAGAAGTTACACTGATATCCAGGGCCACCGTCCGAAGAGGAAAACAGGACAGAGACCAAGAGAGAGATTTTCAAGTTCTTAGACAGGAACTATCAGCTGCAGGAAAACACAAGGTTGGGAAGAACTGAGTCAGCTGTAGCAATGATTAAGAGGCTGTTACAGATAACACATCGAATGAATGTCAACAATACAGCGTCGCTGCATTAAAAAGACGTATTTTTCTCGCCTCCCTTTTTTTTTTTCTAACCTAGTAAAGGAGATGGGGTACGTGATAAGCAAAAATCGAACAAAACCCAAAAAAGACACCCCCCAGTCACTGTGCAGTTCTCTGTCAGAGCGAGCCGATCCCTGATCCCCCCGTGCCCCACCTCACAGCTCCTCCACCACCACCAGGAGGCTCCCAAAAGCCGCTCCGAGCGGCGCCAGGGGTGACCCGGCAGCGCCCGCAGCAGCTGCGCACCTTCCCGGCCGAGCTCCGGGGCTGGGCGGGGAGCACGGACGGCACTGCCGCCGCTCCACAGCCGGGAAAAAGCCAAACACCTCCCGGCTCCGGCGCCTCCCCGGCGGCGAAAAGCCGGAACGGACGCACGGGGAGACGGGAGCTCCGCCACCGCTGTTGGTTTTCAGCGCTCGGAGCGCAGGACACCCTCACAGCCGGGTCAGCGGCGGTGCCCGGTGCCCCCACAGCGAACTCACCGGACCGCGACCCGCCCGCTCCGCGTCCCCGGCGCCTCCAGAGCCCTTTGTTGTCACGGCCGCGGCGCCGCTGACGGACCGGCCGCCGGCCACGCCCCCCGCGCCTCCGCCAATGGGCGCCGCCGCCGCCTGTCGCTAACGCACGTGACGGGCGGGTGGGAGCGGAGGGGGCGGGGCCGGCCGGGCTGGCCCCGCCCCCGCACTGAGGGCTCGGGATGGAAGGGACCCCAAATCTCATCCTATTCCAACCCCAGCCCTAGGCAGGGACACCTTCCACTAGACCAGGCTGCTCAGAGCTCCTTTCAACATGAATACGTGCAGGAATGGGGCATCCACAGCTTTTGTGGGTAACTTGTTCCAGTGCCTCCCTACCCTCGTAATGAAAAACTATAAGGTCTCCTTGGAGCCTTCTCCAGGCTGAACGACCCCAGCTCTCTCAGGCTTTCCTCGCAGGAAAGGTGTTCCATCCTGATAATCATCTTGGTGTCCCTCCTCTGCAGCCACTCCAGCAGGTCACAGAATGACAGAATGGGTCAGGTTGGAAGGAACCACAGTGGGTCATCTGGTCCAACCTCCTGGCTCAAGCACATCATCCCAGAGCACATGACACAGGATTGTGCCCAGATGGTTCTTGAATATTTTCTGTGAGGGAGACTCCACAACCTCTCCAGGCAATCTGTTACAGTGTGTGGTCACCTGCACAGTAAAGAAGTTCTTCCTCATGTTCAGGTGGAACTTCCCGTACATGAGTTTCTGCCCTTAGCCCCTTATTCCATTGCTTGGCACAATGGAGTAGAGCCTGGGTCCATCCTCTTGACACCCTCCCTTCGGATACTTAACAGACACTGATGAGATTCCCTCTCAGCTGTCTCTTCCTGAGGTTGAACAGGCCCAGTTCCCTCAGCCTGTCCTTGTAAAAGAGATGATCCAGTCCCTTGATCAACTTTGTAGCTCTCTGCTGGACTTTCTCCAGGAGTTTCATGTCTCTCTTGTGAGGTTCATGTCCTTCCTGTTCTGAGGACTGGATGCAGGACTCCAGGTGGGGTCTCACAGGAGCAGAATAGAGGAAAATAATCACCTCCCTCAACATTTGTAAGGCTGAAGCACCTTAGTTGGACTGTAAAGTTTCCAAATCACGCACCTAAAGTCCTAGAAAACTTGTGCATTAGATCACTTACCCCATTCTTTTCTTTTAGGAAAAAAGAAGAGGCAATGAATGTAAATGCAGCACTTTTCCTTTTAGCTGCACATCTCTCTGAAAGGAATTTCTAGGCAGTGAAGTTACAGCCCAGGAGAGCTGGTGTGGCCGTGCTGCACACCTTCAGTCACTTAATACAATTCTGAATATAACAGACAGTTAATAGTCGCTTCAGACTGCAGTGAATGCTGGCCAGGCATATATCTGCATCCTTCAGAAGATGCTGAAATGAAACAGTGATGTCTAGCCATAACAGTTTAGGATTTTTCATGGTTTCAGTAGTACTGAGGAATGAATTATTGAAAAATAATAACATTTTGTACTAAAATACAAGGTGTGCAGCATGAGAGTGTTATGGTTGCTGGAGTCCAGATAAACTTCTTGAGCTTTTAACTTCAGTGTTTAAAAATATCTTTTTGGTCAACTTTTTTTCTCCCTTTCTTTGTTGTTTCTTCTTCATTTTCTTGTAAGGACAAAGCTTTTCTACGTAAAACAAAATGGGGAAAGTAAATTTTGGAAAAACGCTGCAAAGTGCCTTCCGGTGGCTGGAAAAAAAGTGCCTAGCTGTACAATCTATAATATTTTTGCAAAAGCTTCAAATGTTTGGTATTTGATGATACTTTCCTAGGCTGAACTAATCCTTCCTGAATTACGAGATCAACTTTATTTTTATAATGTCAGCATTATCAAGGAGCATAAACTGATTGTATGTTTGATTGAACTTTCAGTTTATAGGTTGAAACAACTAATGAGAACGCCTACAAAGTCTCTTCGATTTTCAATGATAGTGGCTCCAACATAGAAGGGGGAGGGGAGATGGCAGAAGCAGCACATGTCTGCAAATTCAAGATAGGCGAGACAGAAAATTAAATGTGTAGAATAAATGCCCCAAAGGATTAATCTGTATTGCAAAATTACATTGTGTTAGAGCACGTTAATTAAGGCAATACAAACCACTTAGTGTAGACAAGAACCGTCATGTTTGGCAGCTGGGTTACCTCAGGTCAACAACAACAAAAAATGTTAAAGCGGTAGTCTTTGTTTATACTGACTGTAACATTAAGCACTACATGTTAATCAATTAACATAATGTATTTTTCCAGTATAGGCAAGCCCTAGGAAAGCTTGGGTTGTATTTGAGATGCAGACTCCTAATGAATTAAAAAGTCACTCTTTATATTCTTTAAAGTCCCCTGAGAAGTAATTGAATGGATAGAACCTCTCCTCTTTCTGCAATGTTGCTCTCAATTTCTTTCTTATTCATCTCACTTATTTCTTAATTCTCTATCATCACAAAGTGGTGGAAACAACGAAGTTGCTTATTTTTTCCTCCAAATAACGTTGGCAGAAGAAAGGCAGATCTGAAAGCTACCCCTCTTCTCAGCCTTCTCAGCGTGCTTTTGTTCCATATCTGGCTAGTACTTAGGTATATAAATGCTTTACAAGGAAATAAATGATGGTGTGGACTCAAATACCTGCTGACCAAGAGCCCAGGTATTTCATCCTGCACTTACTGAGGTCAGTCATAAATTTTCTGAAGTGGTGGGGGTTGTGGCTTTATCCAAAGCCTTTCAAATCAATTAGCCTTTTTATTGATTCTAATGGTTGTTAAATCAGACCCTCGGACAGCAAAAGAAATACAGTTACTCAAGTCTGAGGCTTGCTGGATGCAAAAGCTGAGTCGGAAACTGGCCTTCCCTTGAGGAATTTGACTCTTACATTTGTATTACAGAAAAATATTCTGAAGAGATCTCTGGAGCAAGGGAACCATTGAGATTTACAATAATACGTGCCCTTGCATGATTCTGAATTTATTGGTAGGAGTTAGCAGAGAGTCCATTGTGCTGTGTGCTCAGTGGCAGCTTAATGGCACAGCCATCACTGCTCTGTGTGTCCTGGGAATAGTAAACGACTGGGCAGCAAGACTGTTATTTGTATTGATTTTTCAAGATCCTACACATTAATGCAAGGCATGACCTATTGTCCGGGTTCCCACTGCGATGAAATACTACAGCAGTATTTAGCAGGCACAATATATGTCTAGCCATGGAGTACAGAGTGACCTTCCTACCACAAGACCTGCAAGTTACAATGAGTGCATTGAGCTTGTAACAAAGCACTGCCATGTGCTGTGCCTCTTGGAGAGGCCCTGTTCTGCAGACATGCCTGTTTAAATGGTAGGTGAGAATACAGATCTATCTCTGTACTGGAAACACTGAGTAGCAGGAGGGAGAACCGCACCAAACAGAACTTGCATAGACTGAAAAAATAAACTCCCTCTAGACTTTGGACAAGATACATCCTCCAGACAAAGATAAATAAAAATTCTTTCCAAACAATGTGTAACAAACAGCTTGGTATCACTATGAGCGATTTGTGCAAACACATCCATCATTCCCACACGGAAAGCACCTGGCATATCTGTACAGGAACCTCCACACCATTCACCTTTGCTGACATGTGTCATTGGTTTAAGGTCAGTGCAGCACAGCTACCAAAACCAAAGTTTCAGTTTAATGTTCAGTTAAAATCCAATGCCCTGAACCTAACCCTGAATAAGACAAAGTCTAAAGCCTTCTGTTCCATGGCTTCCATCTGGCTGTGGCAGAAAGCCCTGTGCCGTATAGGAAGAGATTCTGAGTGATTCTGAAAGATCACCGCTGTCAGAGTTTGGTCTGTCCTACTGAATACATTACGAAGAAATATCTGGGAGTTAAGTTATAATTTTAAAAATACCTCAAGTTTATGAATAACCACAATAAATACTGTTGTGTTGGTTTGATTTTTCTTTTTCTATGGAAAGGATACTAGCTGCTGTTCAAAAAAGCCCAAGCTTTTCTGTCCAAATTTAGGTACAAACACTTCAAACCTGCTGTTTAAAGCATGAATAGTCTGAAGAGATCCAAGCTTAAAAAAGCACAGTCTGACATTTATGTCCTTGTACAAATGTCAGTCCCATTTTTGAAGTGGACTCCTAGATTTAAACATCAGTCCCAACTAAAACAGGCACTTCCTTTACTGCTCTTCTTCCCCTGACTTAAGTTAGTGCAAAGATTTCTGCAGCACTGGCTTCAAGATGACAGATTGATTGCTTCTGCTGTAAGTCACAAGTTTCTAATGCTATTTTCCCAAACAGATAATTACAAGTTTGAGTAAGAGCAGGCCTTTCCAGACTTTTATGCAAAACAGGTGTTAGAGACCTGTTTCTTGTATTTCTAGAGCATGAATTCAGCAAATTCAAGAATCCAATTTTGACATGACTAGGAGCCTCATGATTTGGCTGAGCAAGATCCAAGAAGGCAGAAATTACTGGATATGATCCTCTAAACCAGACTGAAAAAGCTGAGGGATTTCATTTTCTGTGGAAGAACTAATACCTTAAAACATCCAACCTGTTGTCCTTTTCAGCAGAGTGCTGGTTAGAAAAAACCTCCTTTTCCTTTGACACTGTCAAAACGCAAATCCTGCTTTTCGTATTGTTTGAGAGCAAAACCAGGTATAACCCTGTCTTCAAATTGCCACTGGCAGGAAGCCATTGTAAATCACAGCCATTGAAAAAATAATGGTAAGTTTTAGCTACAATTTGAAGCTCTTTTCTTGCACTTTGTCAAAATAAAAATCCTCTCAGAAGTCAGTACAGATTTCGATGGTCTGAATAGCTCTGCTTTTTTCTAGAGCACCCTCAGTGGCAGCATTTGAATTGTTAGCTCAGGCTGGAGCGTGCCAGGCATCGCAGCAGGTAGTGCCAGCCAGCAGGGAGCCAGGGACAGATGCCTCGCCTTGTGTCATTATGTGAACGATTTTTCTCCTGAGCCCAGAGGCATTCATCAAACATTTTCCAATAGGATTTTTTGTCCTCTCATATTTGTCTCTTGTACTAGGAGAAGTCCAGCATATTTTCAC